AACTATGCAGAGCTATATTAATTAATATTGTAAAAAAATTCCTATCCTTAATGTAAAGGTCCTGCATTTTCCCCCATGCTTTTCCTGAAAGATTCGCTGAGGAACTGGGAAATTATTGGACCTGTGATATGTTTGCCGTGAAAGTGACTTGCACCTGAAACATCTGTCTGAGACATCCTAGACACTGATTATTCTCCTATAAAGCATGTTCATATGCAGGTTTTTTAGATACAGAGAACTAGCTCTGACATGTCTGCTAGACATCTGTAAATCCTGGACACCTGACTAGACTTCAAATTCAACCTGGCTAAAATAGCCAGTGAAAAATGAAGGTTTGTCTGAGAAACATGGATGTACAACATCTGCCTTGATATAGCTTTACCATAAGAAATCAAAGAGTAAAACAGAAATATGTAAACAGGAATACAGAAACCCACATTTTTTTGACATGTGAAAATTATTCCTCCTGCAAGAAGGCTTATCTTCCTCAAGAAACTCATATAAACTGTACTGTGATTCCCCAAGGGATCTACTGATATCAGCAAATCCACACAAAAGCAGTCACTTAAGAAGTTCTGAGACATTTTCCAGAGTCATTTGAGCTTCTGGGATTTTCAGTTTGAAATCCTGTTTCCAGACATCTGACCCCTGGATACTGTACAGCCCTCGAAAATGTTTATTTTGAACTCTGAGACCCTCTTTACTAAGGCTACTAGAGGACTCCTGTACAACAACAGTAATCACCATTTCTCTCAGAGTGGAATCAAAGACTGCCCAATTAGTCTGGGGCAAGGCAGTGTTTGTGTATGAATTATAACTAATGCAGAATTGAAAGGGAATTGTTCCATTCCCAGGTTAAGCACTGCTGGTGAAATTAGCAAATGAGATTCCTTTTTTCCCTCAAGGCATGAAGCTGGAGAAAAAAGCAAGACGAGAAGGAAGCAGCTTCTGCATTTTTCTTCTAATCAGCCATGCGTATTAGCGTATAAGGCAAGACAGGAAGGTAATATGAGAATCAGGCAAGCAGCCAGATGACATTGTGTAAAGCATCTTTGTATAACTGCCAGCTAGTGTCTTATAATATTGAACACTGAAGTTTCTATTTAGCAGTGTTGATTGAATGGTGGGAAAAAAAAAGTCCAGGCAAGGATAATGTCTGTAATCAGCACTGCACAATTGCTATTGTCTATGCTTGGTATACTTAATGGAGAAGCTAATTACCATGTGTTCATTTTTTATTACGTTTACTATATTGCGTAGAGAAGTAATATGATTTTTTTTACCCCTCCATGGGTTTACAGAAAACAAACAACATAAACAAAACCACGATGGATCCCCCCTCCCCACCTCAACCCTAATTAATTCTCATTAGGGCCACCGTTTTTATTTCTAAGAGGAAGTCAGAAGGCGAGGATAGCATGCCTGATGAGCTTGCTAACCTAGCCCAGTGTGTGCTTGGATTGGGCTGCTGATGGGTTTGAATGTGACAGGAAGGAAACTGCACAAGCCCAATGCACAGTCGTTTCATTTAACTTCTCTGAGAAACATTCATTTACCTACCACTTCCCATGCAGCTTTACAAAAATAAAAGGGCAAAGTACTCCTGAAAAGTCATGGACTGACAATTTCTTTCTGCATGGTTGGAGAAGAGCAATGCCATGGAAGCACACCCCAAGAATGACATGACAGTGCCCTAAAAATGTTTTAACACAGTCCTACAGTAGTTAGGTGTGAGAATGCTAATCCCTCTCTGATCCTCAGACCATCCTCTGTGCCTGTCTAGTTCAAGCCATGTGGCTGAGTTCACACTGGTTCTGATTGCTGTTGTGGGGCATCTGCCACTGCCAGCACAGGTAAAGGTCCCCACAGGACACTGCCTGCAGCAATGCACCCTTTTAACCCATGACCTCTTAGGTTGAGCCCACCCTTGGGTCAAAGCTTTCTGCTCCTGGAGGGGAGTGGGTGCCCACATCCTCAGTGGGCACCCCAGCCTCCAGGTTTGGACACAAATCAAAGGCTCCCAGTCTTCCTTGGTAGGGCTTTTCTTTGTGTAAAATGCTCGAACAGCTACTGTGAGAGGGACTGGAACTTCTCCCTGAAGGTGAGTCTACTGGGAGCATGTCTACTGACTTCTTCTCCCCCTCTTGTCTTACCAATGAATAATTATTCCACGAAAAGTGAGTGTGTAGGGCCTTCTTTGAATCAGGTCCCTGTGAATTTATATCTCAGCTAAAGGCAGTGTATGACTTTCAGTGAGAACTCTGCCCCTAGGGGCCCTATTTTTAAGCGTGTTTGGGAACCATAAGATGCTGATGGTGATATCAAGTAGGATCTTTCTGAAGTGCCTTTGTGTCCCTAACTTGCATTGGAAAACAGTTCTGTATAACTATGGGAAATATCTGATTTGCATTGACTGTGCTTAGAGAGTTAATGCAGGCATTAGCACAACCACTGCCAAACTAGAGTCCCACGAATTGCTGTGTAGCCCCTGGGAGAGGTTGGGATCCTGCTCAGGTCCTGTTACTTTTCCTGGAAGGATCGAGTTCCACATTCATGCTGTGTTTAGAGAATGCACAATGTACAGTGTCCCCAGGGACCTGAGCAGCAATTGTCAGATGCTGATTAAACCAGTATTAACACCGAGGCATAGCTAAAAAAATGTCAATCAAACTGAAATGAGTGCTGATTTTAACAAGCAGGTTCACAAAGTCTGGGCCTCCCACACTGAAGTAAATAGGAAGATGTTACAGTATTTATAGACTGGATTTCAGAAAGCAGAAGCAGCTAATGCACTCTCTTTATTAGGCATGCTCCCTAGTGCCTGCAAATTGCTGTATATTTCAAGTCTTATTTAATTTTTAATAGAGCAACCTGTTACGTAATCAGATATATTTTCAGGGAAACTTATTATTGCATCTTGTAGTCTGACTGGTTTCCCTGTAAGAGTTCAGCAAGCTGTTGCATGTGGTTTCTATGGGCAGGAACTCCTCTATTTTTCTCCTGTCGAAACTGAAATTAGAATGTCCTACTCAATATATGTGGTATATTAAGAACAAAGAGGTAGTGTCTGACAGAGTGGTGGGTAAGGAGACAGACTACTTCTATACTACATGGAGAGGGAGTGAAGACTTCCTCATCTAATAATGAAGATTTTGCTGTAAAAAATTGGCTGTTCCCCCATATGGTCCTCTATTGCTTCCACAGAGTTAGGCAAAGTAAGAAGGAAAGACCAGATGAAGATAAAGCATTTCAGTGCCTGTGAGACATTACAAGAAGGTCTCTAAGGAGTTTAGTTACTCCTAGGTTCATAAATCTTAAAAACATGAAACTGAGATCACAGAATCACAGAATAACAGAACATGCTCAGCTGGAAAGAACTCACAGGGATCATCAAGTCCAGCTCTTAGCCCTACACAGGACCATCCATCCCCAAGAGTCACATCATTGTCCAAATGCTTCTTGAATTCTGGCAGGCTTGGTGCTGTGATCACTCCCCTGGGGAGACTGTTCCAGTGCCCAGCACCCTCCAGGGGAAGAACATTTCTCTAATATCACATGTAAACCTCCCCCGACAAAACTTCAGGCCGTTCCCTCGGGTCCTGTCACTGGTCACCACAGAGAGGAGATTAGTGTCTGCCCCTCCTCTTTCTCTCATGATGAAGTTGTAACTGCAATGAGGTCTCCCCTCAGTCTCCTCTTCTCCAGGCTAAACAGACCAAGTGCTCTCAGCCACTCCTCATATGGATTCCCCTCAAGGCCCTTTACCATCTTCATTGCCCTCCTTTGGACATTCTCAAATGGCTTAAAATCTTTCTTATATTGTGGTGCCCAAAACTGCACACAATATTCAAGGAGAGGCCACATCAGTGCTGAGCAGAGCGGGACAATCCCCTCCCTCGACCGGCTGGTGATGCTTTGCCTGATACTCCCAGGACACGGTTGGCCCTCCTGGCTGCCAGGGCACTGCTGACTCATATTCAACTTGCCTCGACCAGGGCCCCCAGGTCCCTTTTCATGGCTCTACTTTCCAGCATCCCATTCCCCAGTCTGTACGTACATCTAGGATTGCCCCATCCCAATTGTAGAATCTGGTACTTCCCCTTGTTGAACTTCATATGGTTGGTGATGTGTAAGACAGACCTGGCTCAGGATCCTATGTTTCTGGTCTACCCTCTTCTGTTATGGGAGACAGGATGTTGGAGCAACGGATTTGAAAGTAATCTATGTTAGAGGTGCAGTTCCATTTACATTCATTATAAGTAAATTTCCTCAGAAAATTGGGAATTAAATATTTGAGAGAAACTTTCGGTAGGCTTCTGTCTCTGAATCAGCACGTGGTGCTGAACAGAATGTAAACCTTACCAGAGCTCAACCTTATCCATCCAGAGGGGATGAGCAGGGATCACAAGCTTCCAAAGAGGGAGGTAAATCTTTATGATTGCAAGGCAACTTCTCTGGGATGGTGGGACCTGTAAGGGAACAAACTCTCCTGCTTTTTCCTATACTTCCATTGGACTTTTGTACCTCTCTTACGGAAGAATGAAGGTTTTCTCTGAGCTCTCTTAGATGTATGATTTACAGACTACTTACAGATCTTCTTGCTTAAACCCTCTGCCTGTGTAACCTAGTGTGGTAGTTTGAGCCACATTAGAAATCTAAAATCCATTTTTTAGACTTCCCCCACCCCTTCCCACAATTTATCCTAACACTGGAGGGAAACTTTCCGGCCAGAGGCTTCCATAGCAGAAGGGGGAAGTATGTACATTTATTTACACAAATAAATACTATACAAACTAAAGGCAACTATATATATATATTACATTTCTATCAGTCAGTCCTTTCAAGCCCCTCCTTTAACTTTAGTCCAGGAGCAGCCTTCAAGGCTGACACGTAACACAGTCTTTTGCTGTGGGAGTGTTCTGGGCTCCTGAACACTCCCCCTCTCACCAAGTTCCAGCAGTTGTTTTGTTGCAGTCTCTCCTCATGAAGTCTGAGAAGACAGCTTTGAGTCCTTGCTCCTTTGCTGCTGATTTCTCCCTCTCGGTGTCTCACCTCGGTTTGCAGGCTGCTGCAGTGCAACTTATCAAGCATCCACATCCTGGAATCTTCATTCCTCCACATCAGTTCTCAGCTGGCTCTAGTCAGCTTCAGCAGGCACCTCCCGAGCTCTTGGCTCGTCTCCAATTTTGCCTGGGACTCTTCTCTTCTCCCGAGCACCGGGCCTACCTCCTCCGGCCCGTCCACTTGGCTCAGCTTCAGTGCTGAGCCTCTCCTCCACTTACAGTGGAGGGAAAGAAAAGCCCCCCTCTATAGCTTCACTGCAGAAAAGGAGGGGGAAGAGGTCCTGGCTGCAAAGCCTGCCTCTCTTCTCTTACCTCAGATGCTGTGAATCTCTTCCTTCACAGCACACACTCCAAACGCTGACTCTAACTCTAGCCAAAGGCTGAGTTGGGGGGTCGCAGGGCTCTCCTCTCCCCTCCGGAGGGGAAGAGAGGGAGCCCAGCCACCCCCTGACCTTGTCCACCTATACGCAGCAGACACCAACAGCAAAACCACCAAGACTGCACTGCCAACCATTTCTGGTGCTGTGATATATGATTTTGAGCAGGAGCGAACAACATGAGTGGTGACTGGCTCTCCAGGGAACACTGTCCTGGCACCCAATCACCTCTGAGCCCCCCCAGCTTCTCAGGGGGGGCCAATCTCAATCTATGACACCTAGTCAGTATCTACAGATAAGATTCAGTCTCAGCCTGAGGTCTGGCCCCATTTTATAATCTGAATGTAATCTTCTGCTTCCTAAATACTTTAATGATAAAAAGAATCAATTGAAATGTCCTTTCTGCAGATGGAATTTTGAGTTCTTGAAATAATAGACATTTTTCCATACAAAAGATCTGCTTTTACTGAAAAAGGTTTATTCAAAGAAAAAAAAAAATTAAAACAACAGGGGAAACAATCTCATCATTCTGTAGATCTCTGTCACAGAACATCAGCAACTTAATTGTGTGTTTGGACTGCAGTGATAACAAAGGACATATTGAAGAAAACAGTGACTAAAATTATAGAAGCAGATGTGTTTGGGCCTCTTTGGCAGGAATAAGCTTTCTGATTGCCTCTGTAGTCACCTTTCCATGTCTGTTGTCAGAAACATGCTCTTAGCCTATCTTCTGAGCTCTTCTGCAAGGTGTAGGAGGGAAAGAAATGAAGAAAATGCTTAAGGAAATATCCCACATGGCCTATTTAGGCATGGTGTTAGGGAACTTAAGGGAACTCAGCCTGAACTACATTGACAGAACTTGCCATATTCAAAACAATTTTACAGTTGGTTCTCTTTAACTATATCACAGCATGCAATGCATGAGCACCAATTCAGCATAGGCTCCTTACTGAATTCGTATCTGTGTCTTTTCTCATCCTCACCAATTTTAGACAGTGTTTTCATCAAGATATTCAGCTCGATGTAGCCAAACATTTTAGTACCACCTATAGATACTGATAAATGTTTTGCATTCAAAAGCAAATATAAGTGGTTTGCATCACTTTCCCTACCCTCTTTCCCTTTATGAGGTAGTTCTATAATGTCGTATGATATGCAGGAAAATACCGAAATAGCAAGAGGACATTTAGTGATTTATTGTGACATATCTAGCAGGGAATCTGGAGACCACAGACCTCTGAGTCTCCATTCAGTCCATCAGATTGCCAATAGACTGGACCATTGTAGCTAGACTAAGGACTTGAATGAAGAATGAGTTTACCTTGGTTTTTTGTCATCACCTTTACCCATCATTAGCTCTGGTAACTCTTCACAGGTAGGTTCTTAGCTCATGGCACATGTTTCTTAAATCCCCTTTCACTAAGGGTTAAGCTTGATATGCTTGATAAGCTTGATATGGCACTTGGCATGGGCTAAGAGCACACAAGCAAGCTGTGCTGACACAATCATTTATTAAGATGTGGTGACATTTTGGACTAAAGATCACTCATCATCATCTCTGATATGTAAAGCCCAACACAGACACACTCAGGAGGATGGCTTCTTCTTTATTACCACAGACAGGAAGGCTTGTCTCGTACAAGGTATTAAAGGGATAACAGGCTCTGTTAGAAAAAGAAAAAAAAGCAAACAACAAAACAGCAAGAACCCCTTCCTCAATAAGAAAAAAACCCTCAGCATTCCAGTTACAGGTGATCTGGCGATTTGATCTCTTATGGCCCACACTACATTTGATTTCCTCCTTTCTAAGGTCTTGCTAATGCTGCAAGACATGTTTTTAATCAGATTCCAAAACAAATACAGTTTATGATAGAGCTGGTACCTTGGAAAGGATTAGTTCTGCTCTGTCACTTCTGTATCTATTAAATTTTATTCAGTCATCATACATCCAAGAACACTGTATCTTATGGATATATTTTAAGGCAGTAAAGTGGTACACACTAGTGGTCCCATTAGTGGAAAGTGTCGAATCTAGTGCATTTCTAAGCACTCCACTCTAATCTTTCTACCTCTATATTGTATAGAAGACATTAATGTGTTGTTTTAATTTCAGACTCAGACACTCAAAAAGCTCTCATCAAGAACAATTTCCAGGCCTTGCAAGATAGAGGAGATAAAATAAAGTACTAAAAATAAATAATTCAAGACAAATTTTATTCATTATGCTGTGTTTTCTGTGGGCAATGGTTTGTGTAATTTCTCCTACAGTGCCAAACTGAGCAGCATCTCCTTATGAAGGAGAAGCTTAGCTTTTTGTTTCACATAAAATATTTGATTTATGTACTTGGATCCTTTTATCAAGTTAAGTAAAAATCTGTCTGTCTCTCCTTGTTTTTAACACCTTAAAAAATGTGGAAAAAAACAACCCCTGCCAGGTAGACTCAAATTCTGAAGCCTCTCTTAGGAAAGCAATGCTCCATTTCTTTGCTGTTTAATCAAACATATTTGGTCAACTCTGTCTGCATTGCTTATAAGGAATTTGGGAAAACAGCTTTGTTTCCAGTGTGAAATACTGAGTTTCTTTGAAATTGTAAACTTCTGGCCTAGTCTGACCTTCTTTTCACGTGACATTTACCTTGCAGGGATCTTACATACCCTCCTTTGGGCAGGGAAATTTCATGTGTTTTAAAACCTGCTGGTTTTAAATTATGTTTTAAAACCTGCTGGTATTAGTATTATGAATACTAATAATATTAAATCATAAATTATTAACCCACAGAGTATAAAGTAAGCCTGTCTTTTCCAATCAGGGTTCTGAGTATCCCAAATAAAAAATATTCAGAGATGCCAAATTTCTTCCACCTACTTGTGGCTTCCTTTTTTCTTTCCTCAAATATTGCTGCCAGGTAGGCAAGTCTCTGGCATCAAAGGCCATCTGAAGCTTGCTCAGATATGGGAAAGTTTGACAGGGTAAGTCTTTAGCCTACAATATATTTCTTACTAGCTAGGTAGAAAAAAGTGACCCTCTACAGAGATAGAGCTGGAAATATTTAGGGTCAATAGCAAGTTCAAGGCATATGAGTTAGGGCTTGTCAGAGCCAGAGCAATACACGATCCAGGGGGCTGAGCACTGTTTGAGAAAGAAAGTCAGAGAAACCAGTCAAGTGACTGAACAGCAGAAAGCATGATGAACTCAGGTTCATCATTATAGTCAGGTGAGGCTAGCAAACAAAGTTTCTTTTGGTCCTGGTGGTGGATGATGGGACCTGGATTTCTGCCCAAGACTGTGGCTCTGGCTGTTGATTTCCAATATGTTCTGAGAAACAGACCTCAATATTAGTTACATACACCAAAAAGAAGAAATAATGGCAAAGAGATGGGGCTTTGTCTTAATGAGACAAAGAATAGGATGAAAGAGATGACTCTTTGCTTGGTGGCCAATGCCACAATAATGAGTTTGCTGCAAAGTAAAAGGAAAGTGGGAATCTATAACTTCTACTCAAAAAAACCTTCTCAAAGACAATTCCATCCTCATTACAGTTTCAATAAAACTGTAACTTTCACTATCTGTCCAGATAGAGAAAAACAAGCACTTCAAAAGGCTTGTCTGTAGCAGGCAAAATGGCATCTAACCAAATCCTGAGGTCACACTTAGGAAACAATTAAAGTGCTTTAGCTGTAAGCCCATGGCCTTGCATCAGACTGGATGAATATGGTGAAAACGTGTCTCTTCACTGATACTCACTCTCTGCGGAACTGATCCAGGGAAGAATTCTGACATCTGGGTCAGGATAGAAACAGATAACAGTTTGTGCTGTTACATCCAACTTCTCAAGAGTATTTTTGCTGTATTCAGTCACTCTTCATCTTTGAGGAAATGTTAGGTTGTTGGAGTTTTTTTATAAAGGCTATAACACAAGAACAGCCTCAGGATAGTTTTTTCTTTGCCTTAGTCTTTAACTCAGCCTCTTTAACACAAGCCAATACCTTGAGCATGACTGCTCCCTTGATACTCTGACTGAACCTGCATGTGTGCTGTCTTACAGTCTCTCTTGGTGAGCTAGTGTTTAGAGTGTAAATAAACTCAGTAGAGAACTATGTAGCCCTTCAGAAGGACCTAAATAAGTTGGAGAGATGGGCAGAGAAGAAATGTCTGAAGTTCAGCAAAGGGAAATGCAGTGTTCTTCACCTGGGGAAGAATAATCCCATACCCTGGTACAGGTTAGGGGCTGACCTGTGGGAAAGCAACTCTGTGGAGAAGGATCTGGGGGTCCTAGTGGATGACAAGCTGTCCATGAGCCAGCAGTGTGCTCTTGCGGCCAAGAGAGCCAATGGTATCCTGGGGTGCATTAGGAAGAGCATTGCCAGCAGATTGAGAGTGGTGATCCTGCTCCTTTACTCAGCCCTGGTGAGGTCACATCTGGAGTGCTGTGTCTAGTTCTGGGCTCCTCAGTAAAAGAGAGACATGGAGCTCCTGGAGTGAGTCCAACAGAGGACAACAAAGATGGTTGAGGAATGGGAGCATCTCTCATATGAGGAAAGGCTGAAGGAGCTGGGCCTGTTCAGCCTTGAGAAGAGACGACTGAGAGGGAACCTCATCAATGTCTATCATTATCTGAAGGGAGAATGGCAAGAGGATGGAACTGGGCTTTTCTCAGTGATGCCAAGCAATAGAACAAGAGGTAATTGGCAGAAACTGATGCACAGGAAATTTACCTGAATATGACAAAGAACTTCTTTACTGTGAAGATGACTGCACACTGGAACAGATTGCCCAGAGAGGTTGTAGAGTCTCCCTCACTGGAGATATTCAAGAACTCTATGGACAAAATCCTGTGCAATGTGCTCTAGGATGACCCTGCCTGAGCAGGGAGGTTGGGCCAAATGATCCATTGTGGTCCTTTCCATCCCCATCCATTATGTGATTTTGTGAGAGAAATTCTGCATTAGTTTCCTCTCTCAGTGTAGAAAAGGGATGAATATGCAACACTTTGCTCATGAAACTTTCTCTCCTGGAGGACTAGAAGAGGACTGGCAACTTTTGGATGTCATGTCTATTACTGACCATCTTTGCTGACTCATTGCTTTCTGTCATATCTAGTCCTTAAAGGCATGGATGTTCACCTTCTCAATGACATTGTGTTCTGAGAGCTACCAATACTGACTTTAGGAGACACGTGTTCACCATGGGATGA